CCCCCCCGGGGGGGCGTGGGGGGGGGGCTCAGCTCGAGGGCAGGGCCTGCACGAAGAGCCCGCGGGGGTCGGCCCGGGGCAGCTTGGCCGGGGGGGGCTCCAGGGGGGGCTCCAGGGGGGGCTCCAGGGCATCGGGGGGCCCCTCGTTTCCCCCCAGCCCCAGCTCTGCCGGCAGCTCCTCATCACTCTCCTCCTCCTCCTCCTCTTCCTCATCTGGGGGGGAGGAACAGTGTGGGAGAGGGGGGTGGGATGACCCTCACAGTGCCCCCCCTCCCCACAAAAAAAACCCAAAAAACAGTGGTGGGGCGGGGCTGCCATCAGTAGGTTCCAGAACTGACCCCTCCCAATTAACACACCACCCTATAATTAACTGCTCAGAATTAACCTCTACCCACCCCCAAAGTAACTGCCCCCCCCCTCACCGGCCAGAGGAGGGGGCTCCACCTGGCTGGGGGGGCATGCAGGGACGGGTGGGGTGTCACCCACCTTTGTCAGGGTCCTGCGAGTTCAGGGAGCTGGTTAGGTTAGCGAACTGTGGGGAGGGGGAAGGAAAGGAGGGGGGGTCAAGTTTGGGGATGTTTAAAGGGAGGGGGTCATGCCCCCTAAACATCCCCTCTGAAAGCCCTCCCCACACCACAACAGCGACGGGACACTGAGCTGCTCCCCAAGGTAATAGAGGTGAGGGCTGAGCCCCCCCAAACTTTCCCTAGACCCCCTCACCAAGCCCCCCGGCGCCTCCCCTGCGCCCACCTCGCCCATGACGGCGATGGGGGAGGTGCCCCGGGCCCGCGCCACGCGCTGCTCCACCAGGTAATACATGTACTCGTCGTAGAGCAGCCGGATCAGGTGGAAGGAGCCGAAGCTGGCGGCGCTTCGCAGGGTCAGGTCCCGGATCACCATCGAACTGGAGGGGCACGGCGGGGTCAGTGGGTCTGGGGGGCCGGGGTGCAGCATGCAGGAGGGTCTGGGACGGTCAGGGGGGGTGGCTACAGGAGAGGTCGTTGGGATTTTGGGGGTGCCTCACCTGTAGAAGGACCACTTGAGCAGGAAGAGCTTGGCGGCGCGGGGCAACCCGGGCGTGCCCAGGTGCGGGCGCAGGACACGGCCCACCACGGCGTCCAGCCAGGCTGCCCACTGCTCCAGCGAGTGCTGCTGCCCCAGCGTGGCTTTGAAATCCTGCTCCAGGCGCTGCACCACCCGAGCCTCGCAGCGGCACACCCAGGCCGCCTGCTCCTGCGGGCCGGGACACGGGATGGAACTTGGCACGGCGCCGGGGACCCCCCAGCCCGCCCCCGGCCGGAGCCTCTGGATGCAGGGACAGACCCCCCAGCTCTAGGGACGGACTTGGCTCAACCGCCCCAGCCCCATTTTGGAGTCCCCCTCCCACCTGGACGTTGGCGAAGTCAACGCGGTTGAGGTCGCTGAGCATTTGGCTGATCTGGGCCGTGTTCTGGAGCACGGCCCGGGCCGCCTGTGCCAGGTGGTTCAGGGACGTGTAGCGCCGCAGGGTCTGTGCGAAGGCCCCGGCCGCTGCCGCCTGCGGGGAAACTGCGGGCTCGGGGGGGGCACCAGGCACCCCCAGAAACCCCCAGAGCTCGGTACATGACCCCCAAACCACCCCAGGCTCCTTCACCCCATGGTCCCCCTAGGCCCCCCAAAACCCAGAACAGCCCCCAAGCCTTCTTGAGGCACGCAGGGACCCCCCTCGCCCCCCCCCAAAAATCCAGCACAAACCCCCAAACCCCAACACTGAGTCTCCATGGACCCCTCACAACGCCACTGTGTTCCCCACAGTTTCTCCCCCCTCCCAACTCCCTCAAACCCCTCTGCAAGACCCGTAACCCCCTCCCCCTAAGGCCCCAGGGTCCCCCCAAAGCCCACCTTGACCCGGACCATCTCCTCGGGCATGCTGACCATGGCGTTCCCCAACCAGCTCTCCAGGCTCTTGGCGAAGTTCCGGATCGCCTGGGTCAAGGCACCTGAAAAGGGGAGGCAAAAGAGAGAGTGGGGGCACCGGGGGAGCTCACCTGGGGGGGCCTTCCAGGGGCCACAACGAATTTCGGGGGGTGTGGGTGAGGGTTTGGGGGTGTAGATTCTCCTAGGAAGCGTTGGAGGAAAGCTGAATCCTGCTGGGGCCGTGCCAGGTTAGGGAGGTTCTTTGGGGGGTTTTGGGGGTCCATGCTAGGTTTACGGGGGTTCTGGGAGAGCCGGGGGATTTGGGGGCTCACTGGGGATGGGGCGCAGCACGTCGGGCACCAGGATCTCCACCAGCCCCTGGTACAGGGTGTGGTCACAGTCGCGCACCCAGCGCAGGACGGGCTCGTGCCGGGCCAGCAGCAGCAGCCGCCGCCGGGGCAGGCGCCGCTCCGCCTCCTCCTGCCTGCGGAACGGGGGGGGGGCCGGGGTCACCCCAAAACCAGGGGGGACCCCCCGCAGCCCCAGAGCACCCTCACATCCCACCCCAACAGCCCCAAAGCCATTTGCACCCCACATCCTGGGGAGCCCCACATCTTGGGGTTTCAGACACCGTGCCGGGAGGAGCTCCTGTGTCCTCAGCACTCCCACACCCACGGGATCCCCAAAATCCTGTTGGCTCCCCCGCCACGTTCCCCAGCGTCCCACGGCGGACGTAGCCTGCAGAACCTCCCCCTAATCTGGAGCCCTCCACTCACGCATCGGTCTCGCCGCTACAGCGCCAGAAGCTTTTCCAGAGCATCTCCACCAGCGAGAACTGGAGGTTGATCATCACATCCACGATGGCCTTCAGGGAGCACAGTGCGATCAGGGGGGAGGCCCCTGGATGCGGGGAGGGGGTGGTTTTGGGGTCCGGGGGGGTTCCTACCTCGCAGTGCTCCCTGTAGAGCTGCTGGAATATGCGCAGGTCCTCGGCCCCCACGCCCTCGGGGAGCCCCTTCCCCTGCACGTTGATCTCGGAGAACTCTGGCAGCGTGCGGGAGGCATCTGCGGGGATCCAGGGGGTCAGGGGGGGGTGCTCCCCGAAATCGAGGAGGGAGGGGGTGCTTCTCGGGTGCCCAGCTGTGAGGGTGCTCACCCAGGAACTGCTGGTACTGCTGCACCTGGGCGCTGATGTCAGGGACGCCGGGAGGGGCCGGCCCTGACGACACCCCGTTGGTGACTCCCCCCTCCATCTTCTGCACGGGTTTGAGGCTGTAGGGGGCGAGGGGAAAGGGTGAGGATCAGCGGGGTTTTGGGGGCCACCGCAGAGGCGAGTTCGGAGTGCCCCTCACCGTTGTTTCTGGGCGAAGGGCTGCTGGCGCATGGCCAAGTGCTGCTGGTCCTCCACGAGCCGCAGCAGCGGCGACCCCGCCTTGATGCGCAGCCCGTAGTAATGATACTTGGAATTCCCCCTGGAAAACGGGAGGCCCGAGGGGACTTGGAGGAGGGGGGGATCTGGGTCCCCCTTAGGCAGCTCGGGGGGGTCTCACTTGAGCGGGGGGATTGCAACATGTGCTGCAACGGAGCTGAGCGACCTGCAGGAGCACTGGAGGGGCTCTGCTCCCCCGCAGGATTTCACGGCACTTCTTGGGGGCAATTTTGTTTGTTTTTTTTTTTTTTTTTTTTTTTTTTTTTTTTTGGGGGGGGGGGAGGAGGAGGGTGTCTGACCTGGTGCCGAGGCGCCGTGTGCGCAGCCCCATGAACACGGAGCGGATGAGCTTCCCGAAGGAGGCGGCGTTGACGGGCTCCAGCTTGTGGCCCTGGCAGTGCAGCAGGTAGTGGCAGTACAGGGCGCTGCGGGGCAAACTCACTCCCTCGGCCGTCTCGTAGTTATCCAGCAGCCACTGCACCTGCCGGGGGGCAAAAGGGGCGTCACCCGCACCCCAAAAGTCCCCTCGACCCCTCTTCTTCTCCCCAGGCCGCCCAAAGCCCGCCCTCGGCACCACACCCCCCCCAGAGCGCCTTTTCCTCACGGGTTTTGCCGAAAACCGAGGGATGGTTGTAAGGGGTCACGGGTGGTGTTTGTGGGGAAGGGATGTCTCCGTGGCCAAAGCTCCCAGTTTCCTTCCCAAAATCTTAGTATTTCGCTCACACATCTCCATTTTCCCCACAAGTCTCCCATTTCCCCAAAACCTCCCATTCCACCCCCAAATGTTTTTTCCCAACCCTTTTTTCTCTCCAAAAACCCGTTTTCGCCAAATCTCCCATTTTGCCCCAACCCTCCAATTAACCCCCCCCAACCCTCCTTCTTTTTTCCCTTCCCATATTCCCCTCCCAAACCACCTGAATTCCCCCCCAAAACTCCTCAGGCAAAGCCCGCTCCCCCCCAACCCCCCAAAAAAAGAGAGCCGTGTCCCCTCCTGTCGCCGATGCCGACCTCCCACTCCCCAAAACCCCGGTGTCCCCCCCCGGTCCCGGGCTCTCACCGTGGCGGGGGAGGCGCGGGTGGTGTGAGCATAGGCCGCGCCGCCCCCCGCCATGTACCCCCCCTGGATGACGTAGGTGCCCCCGCCGGGGGTTCCGGGGGTCCCGGTGCCGCTTTGGGGAGGGGCGGGGGGGCTCCCCAAAATCTGCCCCCCCGCCACGTACATGGGCACGGGGGCGCTGGCGGGGGGAGCCTGTGAGCTGGCCGGGGGAGGGGGCGGGGGGGGACTGGGCTGCACCGCAGCCCCCCCGGCCCCCTCAAAGTAGCCCCCCGAGTTCTGCCCGAACAGCGGCGTCTCGGCGAACGGGAACGAGCCCGAGCGGCTGCGGGGGAAAAAAGCACAGGAAGTGGAAGGGGGGGGGGTCAGACAGCCCCGGAGACCCCCCCGAGGGGCGACGGGGGTGGCGGGGACGGGGCACTCACATGGCGCCGGGGGGGTACGAGCCGTCCCCCCCCTCCACGTAGGACACGGGGGTGGGGAACACGTGCTGCACCGGGGGCAGCTGCTGCACCTGGAGGGACACACACACCGGAGGGGTCAGCGGGGGGCACCCCCCAACACCCCCCGTCCCCCCCGAACGGCCCCCGCTCACCTCCTGGGGGGTGCCGGGCTTGGGGGCGGCCGTGGCGCTGGGGGCTGGGGAGCGCTGGGGGCACAGGGTGGGGAGGGGGGGGCACCCCCGGTTCAGCTCTCGGGGCACTTGGCAGCCCCAGTTTAACCCTTCTCAGCACCACCTGAACCCACTTCACACCCATCTCGCCCGTTCCAGAACCAGCCCACCCCGTTTCACTCTCATTTTATTCCAGTTCTCACCCTTTTCATCCCATTTTGCCCAATTCCACCCCACCTTTATCCCAAATTTATCCCAATTCATCCCGTATCACCCCGTTCCAGCCCCATTCCAAATCCATTTTAACTCCACTCCCGCCCCCTTTTACCCCATTTCTGTCCATTTTGGGCAACTATAGCAAAATGTTACCCCCTTCCAGCCCATTTGAACCGCATTTCACCCCACTCCAGTCCCAATTTCGACCCAGTTTCCCCCCGTTTTTCGCACCTGCTGCGCCCCCGGGCTGGGCCCGGCCTGGGATGGCGCGGGGGGGCCTGGGCTGCCCTCGGCGCCCTCCGGGGGCCGCAGCCCCTCTGCTTTGGGGACAAAAAACGGCACATTTGGGTCACACTTTGGTCCTCTCGCCAGTTACGGGGTCACCCCCGAAAGCGGGGGGTGACGGGAGGGCGGGCTTTTGGGGCAAACCGCGGTGGTTTTGGGGTGCTCACCCGCCACGGTGACCACGATGAACTGCTGGGCGGGGGGCGCGGGCGCGGGGGGCGCTGGGGGGGGCGCGCCAGGGGCGGTGCCTCCCGGCAGCTCCGCCCCAAAAGGGGCGGTGCCGGCGGGGGGCGGTGCCGAGGGCGGTGGCTGCTGCTGCTGTGACGTCGTCGCCGTCAGCTCGGTGACGTAGGAGGGTTGGGTCGCCATGGCGACGCCTAGGGGAGTGACGTCATGGTGATTGGTGACGTCAGGGCAGGACTGACATCACCGAGGGGAAAAAAGGGTGATTCTACCCCCGCACGTGACATCCCGCGTGACGTCAGGACGAAACACTGAGACACTGCCCCAGGGATGCCCACCGGTGACGTCACGACTCGCTTGTGACATCACCGCGCGGGAGCGGGCGTGACCAGCCGCGACCCGCGCGCCCACATTGGCTCCCGCCCCCCGCCCCGCCTC